GCTCAGATAAACAAAACCGGAAAGAATTTACCAGCACCGGACCAGATCTCCAAGAAGTGCTATGCCAGAAGAAAGGAGTGCTACATCAGGAGAACTAAACACAAACATATAGAAATAAGAGTTTAAAAACAACTAAGAAAATGGCTAACTTATTGGTAGGAACAAATCTGGAGTTAAATATGATATTCAAGAATTTTTTAAAGAATTATTTATTTAATTATTTATTTATTAATTTATTTATTTTAATTTGACCAGAGAGAAAGTGAGAAAGCAAGTCACCAGGTCTGGGATTTGAATGGTGGTCAGCCATGTGGGAGTGTCCAGCACCTTAACCACCACACCACCTGCTGGTCCCTATATCCCAGAATTGAATCAGTAAGATCGACCACAACAAAAGATAAATCAAGTACATGAGACTGAACAGTTGAAATAGAATCTTATGACTTTTGACTAAAACATTACTGATTTTTCTTCTAGGCTTTGTTTTCTGAATTTAAGGATTTTTATCTTGTCTTGAGCTGCCAATAGGTTCATACACCTACTATTTGAACAGAATCCTAACTTGTTTCCTGGCTTTAAGTTTTAAGCAAAGCTCTCTTAGCATTTCTTTGATTTTGATTTATTAAAAGTTAAAACTTTCTTGAAATTAAAAAAATATATTTAAATATTTTTTTTTAATTTCAAGAATTTAAATATTTTTTTAAGTTCAAAAAAAGAACTTGCTCCTCTAGCTGTATCCTGGAATAAAGAAAACACAGAGCAAAACATTGCCTCCACATAATGTAATGAAGAATAAACTTCTGAGATTGTAAGTCATCAGATTTGGGGATTATTTGTTACTACAAAGCAACCTAACATAAGATGACTGATAAACTCTCTCACTAATGAGATGGAATAGCAAGAACAAACATTTTTGAAATAAAACAGACCTGCATTTGACATCTGAATCATTTTTGATTTTTATATTTTACATAAATATCAATGTTATAAAAGAAAATTTCTTAATCTCCATTTTAAAAAAAGTACAATGAGAAACATAGACTATAATGTGAATGGTGCCCCTGGAGGCCTGAAGCTGCAAACCTCAATGTATTGTCTTTGGCCTTAGGCGTTTCGGATAAATCTCCTTATATATCTTAATAATAATAGGGCTAACACATGTTGTTACCATGTGCTATGCATATTCTATGTACTTTATGCATCTTCTGTTAGTCCTCATAACAATCCTATAAGAAGGTACTTCTATTCACTTCTATTTTGTAGGTGAATAAAATAAAGTTTCATGACTTGTCCAAGGTGATGCAGCTAGTCAATAGAACTAGAATTCAAATCCCGAGAGTATGAGGCCCAAATCTGTACTTCTAACACTGTCCTGTCCATCTTGCCTGAGGGCTTCCTTTCTGCCATGACATTCTGGAGCAGGCAGTACATACAGAATGGGCCCTGAGTTATAACGGCAGATGTGGCTCAGATCCCATGCTTCCATTTGGTAGCTGGGCAATTTAGAGAAGTTACCTACCTTTCTTGAATCTTAGCGTCCTCATCTAAAGATATGAATTCCAGAGGAAGTGGTTGGGAGGAATAACCATTGGTTTACTTTTCCTCTAACTCTGCAAAGAGAAAGGAGTCCAAACTCCATGGAAGTCAAACAGGAAATGATCAAATCACATCAAAATGGGTGATTACCTATTCAGTAAAGAATATTTATCGTATGCCCATCGAGTGCCAGACACACTATTGTTGGTTTCCTGGACAACTGAATTCAGTACATTCTCTTCAAATCCTTCAAGCATCACAAGGCCCTGTTTATTTCCGAGGCTGGGGCAATCTGCGAGGGACCCAGAGGGCGTAGTTTTGCTGTGGGTCCATTGTGTGACTCTAATCAGCCTGGGACCATTGTGTGACCCTAGTCACCAACTGTCTTTTTCTGTGGAAAGGTGATGCTGATGGCACGTAGCATGCTCCAAATAAACGATAACAATTATAATGGCTAATAGTAACCCGTCCCAGGTACTTATGGAAGGCAACGACGAGTTACACCGGTCGCCCTTGGGTCAGTGACTGCCGCGTGGGGAGGAGCCAGGGCGGGATTTTCCTTCCGTGGGAACCTTTCTCTCGGGGCCGAGTCTCCGCCCGGACTCCGAACGCCGAAGGCCCAGGGCCGGAAGCGCGCGCAGCCACAGCTGCAGCGTGTCAGTCGGGAAGGAGGGAGGGAACGAACGAGCGAGCGAAGCCGCGGCGACCGGACGAGATGGCGGCCTTCTCCGGTGCGTTGGTGAAAGCTGCTGGTGGTGTGGGCTGCTCGCTGCATGCCTCGGCCTGGGGGCCCCGGTGCGGGGCTGGGGGCCGGAGCTGCGCAGACCGGAGGGCACTGTCCGCCGCAGCTCCCTCGGGTCCTGCGCTGGGATTGGCGGCGGCCCGCGCCGCGGGGCTCTGGTTTGGGAGGAGCATTTCTGCCCAGCTGTTGGCAGGGACAGTCCTGCATCTGATCTTTGTCCTTTTCTCTTCTACGAGTCTCTACTCGCCTCTCTTGCGAGTGCAGCCACGGCTGCAAAAACGAGGCGGCGGCTTGCTAGCTGGACCCCTAGGCCTCTCGCCTCTTCGACGTGGCAGTAATCCTTTGGGAACTTCTTTCGCCCGCGGGTCATCTGGGCCCAGGGAGGGGTCATTCGGAAAAATGACCATACTACCGCTGTCCAGTTTTTTTTTTTTCAAGCAGGTCTTCCCGAAAATAAAAGTTGCAGGCATAAACCTGATCTGCTTTTGTTCAACGCTATTGTATCAACCTTGACAATTAACGTTGGAGGGAAAGGGAAAGTATTTTCATTTGCATACACACTAGCTAAACGCTGTTGTAATCAGCCTTAGAGATACTAAACGCGCTAAACGTATATAGCAATAAATGTATCAAGTTAGGCTTGCTATCTTTTAATGTTCCTATTATAATGACTTCAAATATTATAGTATTTGATGTTTAAAGTTTTCTCCCACAGTCAGGTGAGAGGATCTCTAATGTTTTAATTATTATATATCACCTAGTAAGAGTCAAGGGGAAATCTACTCTTGAAGTGGTTGCTGGTTTTTTTTTTTTTCCCAGCTCTTTCCTAAAAGGAGATTTTAGAGCCAAGTTCTGCAGAGGAGTTCTAGATTCTCTAGAGTCTCTCTTTTTTTTTTTTTTGGAGAGGTTTTTTTGCTATAGGGCGCGTGCACTAGCCAGACAGAGAGAGGCAGAGAGACAGAAAGTGAGACTATTATAATGACTTCAAATATTATAGTATTTGATGTTTAAAGTTTTCTCCCACAGTCAGGTGAGAGGATCTCTAATGTTTTAATTATTATATATCACCTAGTAAGAGTCAAGGGGAAATCTACTCTTGAAGTGGTTGCTGGTTTTTTTTTTTTTCCCAGCTCTTTCCTAAAAGGAGATTTTAGAGCCAAGTTCTGCAGAGGAGTTCTAGATTCTCTAGAGTCTCTCTTTTTTTTTTTTTTGGAGAGGTTTTTTTGCTATAGGGCGCGTGCACTAGCCAGACAGAGAGAGACAGAGAGACAGAAAGTGAGAAATCACCCCCCGGGGGGATGGCCACACCACAATCCCTTCTCCTCCATTCCCCTCTCGGGATCTTGGGCACGCATGCACATGCGCCAGGCGTGAGTTTAAGCCACCGGGTCCAGGACTTGAACCATGGTCGACTACGTGGGAGTCCAGCGACATAGCCATTACGCCAACTGCTGGTCCCAGATTCTCCTTTTTTTTTTTTTAATTTTTTTGTTTGTTTGTTTGTTCATGTCTATGAGAGTTGTACACAGATTTCAGGAATGTTAGGGTAAGGGATTGGAGAAAGAGTCTGTGATTGAATGAAATAAAGACAAAAGTAGAATTAAAGGCCTGGGTTATTTCTGTTTCCCCCTTAATTGTTAAAAATGCAGTAATATAGTTAACGAGCAGAGAACATGACCAGAATGAGACAAGAAGTTGTTTGGAATATGCTGAAAGCAGTCTGCAGTTGCTAACAGTTTTGCAAATAGCTTCAGCTTGCAGTGTTCTGAATGTAGTGTGTTTAAGACCATCACTCCCCTTTTTTCAAGCTGTTAGTATTTTAGGAGAGAGAATATAGCTAGACTGTAATGGACGTAATTTTCAGAAAGCCTACCTGGCTTGAGAGTTCATTAGCTTCTCTATATGTATCACTAGATTTTCTTGGGGAGATTCAGAGTTAGGAGAGCCACCTTTTTTGAAACTGAAGATTCTTCTCAATTGATGCAAGGAACAAGCTACTTTTATAAGAATATATTTAACTTGTAAATTTGCTTAATGTTTTTTCACAGTGACAAAAAATACAAAATTTCGAATTGGTTATTTCTGGGGTTTAGGAATATTTGAATAGTCATTTTCATAGGGACATGAACATTTGTAATAATAATACAATCTTCATTTTATAAATGCAGACTTCAAATAAAAATTGCTTCTCATTTGGAAGAGAAGTTTAATCCAACTAACTACACCATGTATTACTACCCTCTACAATTCATTTGAGAAATGCTAAGATGATAAAGCCCAGTCAGAAATGATCCAACTTACTCCTTAAGGACTGACCTTGAAGTGAAATTTCAGTATGAATATGATTAAGAACAGAAAAGCTCTTCAGCTGACATTTCCTGTTTCCCAAGTTTTCACCACTTGCCTTGCACTCAGTGACCAGAATTTTGATTATGGCTGTCAATAAACGTAGGCCCTCTCCACTTACCTGTTCATTTTGCTCAGGTTGCCGAGGGTGTTCTCGTGGTCTTGGATGGTTCAAGGCACATAGATAGCTGCCACGTTATCTGTAAACAAACCAACTAAGGTGCTAGTCTAGCACCCTAACTGGCAGATTTTTTACTAGGCATAGGAGGTAGAGCATCGGAGGCTGCTATGTCTGAGTGACAGTCGTTTACCAAACACACCGCATCACTGCTCTCTCTAATCTTCCTGTGTCCCTGCAAGGTAGATGATGTAAGTCCCATGTTGTGTGGAGGAAACGGGGTATAGCTTTGCCCAGGTCACTTGCTGGAGAGAGCCTGGATTTCAACTCAAGATTTTCTCTGCAGTGCCACACTAAGCATGTTATAACTGAGCTGTGCCTCAAAGCCTTTCCCTAGTTCTGGGAATAGTGATTTTCAGGAACAATGTGATTTATGGTTAAGTTTGGGATATGTGTATTTTAAGATTAATTTTTACTTTCAGAGATGGGTGTTATGCCTGAAATTGCACAAGCTGTGGAAGAGATGGACTGGCTGTAAGTACATAAAGTGCACATGCATTGTGACAAGGATGTTTCATAAGTTAGACAGTTGCTAATGACTTTATAAAATAATTTTGGATCTAGTTGGGTAAGTAAAATTCAGTTTTTCTGGTGATTCTCTAAATTATGGAAAGTTTCTTTTTTATACTTGATATATTTTAGGTCCAAAGGGATTGTTTATATTTACTAAATGAAATTTTTGTTTTTGGTGGGGTGTTTGCTTTAGGGCACTTGCTCTTGCCAGAGACAGACAGAGACAGTGAGAGGGATAGTGAGAAGTCATCCCCCAGGGGGATGGCCACGCGGCAGTCCCTTCTCCTCCATTTTCCTTCCGGGATCTTGGGCTTGTACACACATGTGCCTGGCATTAGTTTCAAGCCACCGGGTTGGGGACTCAAACTACGGTCTGCCATGTGTGAGTTCAGCAATGTAAAAACCATGCCATCTGCTGGTCCCACTAAATGAAATATGTTTAGGTTTACAGTTTAACATGACTTAATTAGCTTAGATGATTTTTTTGTTATTTAACTAAAATTCTTCAACTATTCTTTCAGTCTCCCAACTGATATCCAGGCTGAATCTATCCCACTGATCCTAGGAGGAGGTGATGTACTTATGGTATGTTTAACTTTGGAGAGGTGATTGGGAGCTGGGGACACGTAATTCTGGGGTTGTCTGGGACCTACTTTAATAATTCCCTAGGTTAAAGATATTTTTATGAAATTAATTTTATTCACAAACATTTATGATACATGTGCTGTTTTCAGGGTATTAGGTAAAACTGTTGTAATACAAAGGCAAAGAAGATATATTTCTTGCTTTTGAGAAGCGTAAACCAAGTAGGACAATAAGATGTACAAAAATAAATGTCATAGAGAGAGAATGTGGCACCAGCATAACAGATGCAAAGTACTATCGGAATCAAGTGGAGGTTCAGTTATTCACGTTTGAGAGATCGTAATGGACTGCCTAAGAGTTTTTGTTTGTTTGTTTGTTTGTTTGTTTGTTTTAAGGGTTTTGCCATAGGGTACATGCACTCTCCAGAAAAAGACAGAGAGAGTCAATGTGAGGGACAGTGAGAAATCACCCTGTAGAGGGATGGCCATGCTGAGATCCCTTCTCCTTCATTCTTCTGGAATTTGGGGGCATGAATGCACACGCACCTGGCATGATTTTCAATCTGCCAGGTCCGGGACTTGAACCATGGTTGGTCATGTGGGAGTCCAGGGCTTTAACCACCATGTGACCTGCTGGCCCTGCAAGTATATTTTTGATAAGAAAAGATGAAAGAAATATTCTCTGCTAGAGAGAGAATCAACAAAAAAAAACAGTGAGTAAGAGAATGCAGGGTATAATCCTGAAATTTAATTTAGTAGTATAAAATGTGTGTTTGTGTTGAGGGGTATAATTTGAGTCAAAATGGGGAATATTATGTTTCAAATTAGGGCTCTTCCTCAATTGTCGTGTTAATGAATTTGAGTATTTGTTGTCAGTGGGAGTGTTGTTATTAAGCAGAGACATTACTTGGTTGCAATTGTGTTTTCATGACTCTTTTGGTATTATATCATAGTATAGCTCTGTAGGATGAGGTACCCTTAGAATGAAGAGGGCTCCCATTTGAATGGTAATAATAGGAAGGAAAAGGGAGAGCAAATTCTGAAGATAGTAAGTCTAGATAATCTTGAGGCACTGTGAAAATAAAGGAAGCAGTCAAATGTTAAAGATTTCTACATAGTATCATGTCATTTTGATTTCTTTAATTGACAAATTGTAAAGTCAACTTTTTTTTTCCATTCAGGCTGCAGAAACAGGAAGTGGAAAAACTGGTGTAAGTAATACATTTAATTGACTTACTTTCTAAGAGTTGAATTTTTTTTTTTTTTTTTTTTGGAGAGGTTTTTGCTATAGGGCGCGTGCACTTGCCAGACAGACAGAGAGACAGAAAGCGAGAAATCACTCCCCAGGGGGGATGGCCATGCCGCAATCCCTTCTTCTCCATTCTCCTCCCGGATCTTCTCCTTTCTCCTCCCGGGATCTTGGGCATGCACACACACGCACCTGGTGTGAGTTTAAGCCACCGGGTCCGGGATGCAAACCACGGTCGACTACGTGGGAGTCCAGCGACACAGCCATTACGCTAACTGCTGGCCCCGTCTAAGAGTCGAATTTTAAAATAGCTTTGAAGAATAGCTTTTACTTAGAAATATTTAATAAAACCACCAGCTCCAAAATGTAAGGAATATTGCTTGCCATTGAGAGTGATATTTTTGTTGCTAAGTAATTGTGAAGATCAACAAAAGAACATGGCTTAAAGAGTTTAGTTTTAAATTGCTCTTAGAGAAAGAGTTACAGTAGCTATAGTGTTTGTGCTCACTTCTGAATTTTAAAGCAATAGTTCTTATGGTAAAGAAAATTAAAGCTGCAAATTAAAATTGATTTCCTGTTGTATGAGACTAGAAAAACAGTTTGTCAAACTGGATAATGTTTTTCCTATTTAGGTTCATTCTGCAGGTCTTCACCACTTACTGCTTTGGGATGTCAACTGACTCCTATTACATTTCCTTCATTCACTCAGCTCTGTTATCTTACTGGTATTTTGGATTTGGGCAAATGAAATTTGAGCACTGATCTGGAATACGTGTAATATTTAACATGCACGTAACTTTAGTCATTGGTACTGTTTTTTTTTTTATTTTTTTAAGAATTATTTTTATTTAACTTTATTTATTTATTTATTTTAATTTGACCAGAGAAGGACAAGTGAGAGAGAGAAAGAGAGAGAAAGAGAGAGAGAGAGAGGGAAAGTGAGAAAGCAGGCTGCCAGGTCCAGGACTTAAACCATGGTCATCCATGTGGGAATCCAGCACCATTAACCACTACACCATCTGATGACCCCATTGATGCTGATTATTAAACCACTAATACCTGAATGCTGATATGAGAACTGTTGTTTCTTTGCTAGGCTTTCAGTATTCCAGTCATCCAGATAGTTTATGAAACTCTAAAAGACCAACAGGAAGGCAAAAAAGGAAAAACAACAATTAAAACTGGTGCTTCAGGTAATTATTATAAATTGATATTCCTTCTGTAGAAATCAGATTCTCATCCCTGACATTTATGAATGTGAGGTTTGTGTGTGCATTTTTCACTGTTAGTGTCTTAGGGGTAGTATTAGAATTTGGTGCCCTGGAAACCAAGGATGCTAAATGTCATTTAGAGCCTGAACAGCCAAAGATTGTCCCTCCGAAAATACTGAAGTGCTCCCATTGAAAAACACTGGCATTTTGGGAATCACAATTAGTTATTTTATTGTTTTTCTTAACCTTATAACTTTTAGGCCTCATATTAATAATAAATTGATGCAAGATTTTACAGAAGAATTAAGGAAGCATTTTACAGATAACTTAGGAAGTAAAAATCCATGATGGCAGTATTGATTTACCCAAGAAGAAGAGATGTGCTTTTCCCCTCAGATAAGAAAGTCTAAGATAAAATGTAACATGCAAGCTTTAAAATTGCTTTCTTATTTTTGATCCTATCTGTATGGAGATTAGTCCTCTTATTAGATTTCTGAGCCTGTCCCTACCTTGAAAAATATGACCTCAGTTTCTTCATCTTTAAATTGTGTTGATTCAATTAAATGGTTTATAAAATCCATTCTTTTAATGTCTGGTTTTGTCTTAGTAAAATTTATTCCATACTTTAAGTCACTTTTACTTTATGATACAAAACAGAATTATGACAAAATACCAAGCTTCACAGAGTAGACTTGGCATATGGACATTTTCTTTTCAGTTGTTTGAAACCAAAAATGTTATACAGTTCATAGAATGAAGTCGTCGTGAATGAATTGTCATACAGATAATAGATATAATTGTTTAGATTATTGGCCTTTTCTAAAACAGCTCTAGAACCTTTGAATTATTTAAGATAAAGGACTTGCTTTTCTTTTAATAATGATAAAAAGATGATTAAATAGACGTTAAAATTGTTTCCATTACAATTGAAGTTAACTTATTTAGTTATCTAAACTTCACTTTATCACTTATCTAGGAGTTAGGACAAATATCAGTGTCACCTGATACACAGTGCATGAAGTGATTAACGTTTTAGACCCATAGAGGCCAGTGATGATTATCTCCGACATATTTTGTTCTTCAATTTAAGTAAAACAGTTTTACTTGTATATTCTAAATAAGGGTAAAACTATTCTGAATCTACAGGAATTAGGGTATAATATATTTAAAAAATTGTGCATGGTTTTTATAGAGCATTTTTAATTTCATGTTTGTGGGTAACTTTTGTAATTTTCATTTGTTTAGTGCTCAACAAATGGCAAATGAACCCATATGATAGAGGATCTGCTTTTGGTAAGTGAATAGATTTTACCAGCCCATTTGTAAGTTGGAAATATTTTTGTTAAGAGTAGGTGAGAATACCAAGACAATTACAGGAAAGCATAACAAGTGAAGATTAATTTACCAGATGTTAGACTACAGTTACTGGGCCAGCATGTTAATTAAGGAATCTGGATCCCACATAGCTATCTGCACGGTTCAAATTCTGGACCTGTCAGCCTGAAAAACATGCTTGGCATGTGTGCGTGCAAGGCCAAAATTTAAAATTCTATGAGAGTGGAGAAGGGATTGCAGCCATCCCATCCACAGACACACATCCACACCCAGTGGCCATCCCAAATCCTGGGGGTGCTTTCTCACTATCCCTTCCTCTTTGTCTCCTAAATCCAGTCAGGGTTAGGGACATGCATGCACACATGCTCTGGGGTCAGAACTCAAACCATGGGTGACTATATAGGATCTGGCTTCCTATGCATAGCGCTTAACTACTGCACTATGTGGCCAGCCTGCTAGAGAGTTTTTTAAAAAGTTCAAAACTTTATCTATTCAGTATTGATATGAATAAGAGTTTATACTTTGACTAACTGTATCTCTGAAAAGTAAAGTAAGATGTGTATGATGGATAGGGAGACATTCAGGTACTAAAAATGAGTTGCAAACATGAACAAAGACAAATTCTTTATAGGTGGGCTTCTATAATAGTACAGAGAAAAGCTAGACCTTTGCTTAAAGCCAATGAACACTATGAGATATATTGATTCCTTGCTACACTTGTTACTGGACAATCTCGTCTTAGTTCATAGACGACAGGGTAGAAATTAGCCCACCACATAGCTAAAAACATTCCGAGGATGAATAAGATTCATTACTCTTAAGAAAAATGCTATTGTCATTCAAGAATCAGCAAGTCTCAGTCTCTGGAACATTGAAAGGATTATCTTATTAGTGAAGCTGAATGATGTTTATTTCTAATTGCATGATTTATAAAAACCTCCACTGACATTCTCTTTGTTTTTTCTCCAATCTAGCAATTGGGTCAGACGGCCTTTGTTGTCAAAGCAGAGAAGTAAAGGAATGGCATGGGTGTAGAGCTACTAAAGGATTAATGAAAGGTATTTGAATGGCATCTGTACTTCTGTAAACTTTAGAGACAGTATATCAGTATACAAACTTTTTTTAAAAAACTTTAAAGCAAAGATCTAAAAGAATTTTTGATGGTACAGAAAGACCTACAGTTCTTTGGTGTATAGAAATTATAGTTTAGAAACAGTGGGAAGGTGGCTTATGATGAATGAATCCTGTAAATCTCAAGTCACTCGCTCTCACAGGGAAACACTACTACGAAGTTTCCTGTCATGACCAAGGATTATGCAGAGTTGGCTGGTCCACCATGCAGGCCTCCTTAGACCTAGGTATGTGTTTCTAAAATAACTGAATTAATTGATTCATGTTTGTGGGTTCTTAACATTTTATTATTTGAAGAAACATAATAACCAAAAAATGTTACATTTTTAGAGACACAGAAGTATCTTCCTAGCCAGTTCGAAAAAAGATCTAAAGTAACTTAAAAGAAAATAGAATAGAATGAAATTGGGAATCGAGGTTAAGAATATGAATGGTGACAGGGTAAAGTTAATTTGCATGAACATGGATACATAGTCCTTCCAGTTATTGTAAATTTGCATCCTAATTTCTTTTTTTTAAAGACTTATTTAACTTTATTTATTTATTTTGATTTGATCAGATAGGGACAGAGAGAGAGAGAGAGAGAAAGCGAGAAAGCAAGCCACCAGGTCCAGGATTCGAACCGTAGTCGACCATTTGAGAGTACAGCACCCTTAACCACTACGCCATCTACCAGCCCTGCATCCTAATTTCTTAGTGGCTAAAGCAAAGAGAGATTGTGTGTGGTTTCTGTCTACCCTGTCACAGTATCCATAGGTTAAAATCTTCAGTTTGTAAGATTCAGAAACTGAAGGGAAAATTTTCCTGTGGTTTCTTGAATAAAGATACTATAATATGATGAAGATAAAATCTTTTACAGGGGTTTTGTTTTCATATTACTCTTATCACATAAGTAAAATATTTTTAAAACCTAGGTACTGACAAGTTTGGATTTGGCTTTGGTGGAACAGGAAAAAAATCCCATAATAAACAGTTTGATAATTATGGAGAGGTAAGCAATTACTTACCTGCCTGAAACATACCATTAAGAAGTGTTCTTTCATGCTGGATCACTCATGACATGACTAAGGTTATAGAAATGATCCTGAAAATCAAGTGGATTTTCTGTATATTTTGCACAGAAAGTTTAGATTTGGACGACAGTGAAAACTACTATAAAACTAGATAAATATGTAATAGTTGTCTTTGTTGTCCTATGCCACTGTTAACACCTCCAAAATGTATTATATTGCCTTTTCTTTATCCTCTGGTTCAATTTTGGCTTTGGCTTTAATAAAACTATTATTCTTATTTTAAATTTTCGATTGTGGTGAATCTAAATGTAGTTGTTCTGGTGAACCCAAATCTAGTAATGTAATGAGCCAAAGTATTATATTGATTATAAGATGCTTCTACCGTTGTATATATTATGCACTGTAGTATATTTAACACCTGCATTAACTCCTCAAGGAACCTGTTGTTTCTTTGGGAAAGTTGTAATGCATTTTTGCATACAAAAACAGAAAAATACGGCATGACTTTCCCGATGACCTAATATTTTGAAACTAATGCATGCTATTGGAGTAACTATTTGAACTTTTAACTTTAAGATTTTGCTTTCTGTTAATAGCACTAGATTTTCTTATTTTCTAGGAATTCACTATGCACGATACTATTGGATGTTACCTAGATATAGATAAAGGGCATGTCAAGTTCTCCAAAAATGGTAAGCACTCTATGAATCTTATTAGCAAAAAATATATTTAATACTTGTGATTATTTTTTACCATTTGCCTCTTGAGTCTTCTGTCTCTCCCTCCCTGCCTTTTGTTTTAACAAATGTTTATTGAGCATTTGCTATGTGCCCAGTACCTTGGTATGTGCTGGAGACACAGCAGAAAGTAGAGAGGAGAAATGTTTTCTTCGGTGGGACTTCCATACTGGTGGAGAAAGACTAACATGTAAATGGTACATGAGGTGCAGTAGGTGCTGTGAAGGACCAAAGGCAGCAGGGCAAGGGTGTGGAGAGTGACAATAGTCTGACGATTCAACTTCCACAGGATGGTCAGAGAAGACTTTGTTCACAAAGTGACATTTGAGTAGAAATCTGAACTAGTCGAGTGGTGGGCTGTGTAGATTTTTTGGAAGAAAGTG